AATTGTGTCTTCATATGGAATTCCTTAAAAAACCATTAATTTTCTGAGTGTTGGGAGCTCAGAAAGTAAAGCCATCGACTTCAGACGGGTGTTAGCTGCCTCTTTCTGTACATTGATTCCCAGAATAATTGAAAAATCGTAGTCAGAATATAACTGTGACCATCCAACTTCCACGGTGGTGCCAAATATATAGAAGCAGTTTGTAGCTGATCAGTTTAAGATGTTAACATAAAACATTTAGGCCACACAGCCTTCTTTGGTAATGTCAGGTAGTGTTTAGCTACAGACCTCCAAGAACCTGTAGCAAATGTTTGGAGCTAAGCTACACTTGCAATTGCACATTCTTGGTTTAAGATCAATCTGAAATGAGAAGCAATGGTGAAAGAGGATGTCTTTAAAACACTGTGAGCATCCACCAGCCTAAACACCAAAACAGAAAGCACATTTTCATGGGCAATGCGGGAGCACACCTGAGCAGTGCATCCAGAGAATTGTGGGCTGGACACTGCTTTAAAGGCAGCTTCCTAATGCCTGGCTCTCTGACAAGGGGGTTTCAGTTTCTAAAATGCCTCAAACTTTGTAATCACAGATGTCAAATCACATAGGATTAACCAAGTTGCAAAATTCATCAAATTACAAACGCTATTTGTGTTCTCAAACACTCTGAATTCTACTGTTCAAAAGAATCGATTCAACTTTTATGTAGCAGAGAAAACTTCTTGAGCCTTCCAAGGGCAAACAACTTCCTAAGTAGCAATTTCTGATACCTGGTTAACATAATGGAATGGAGTCCCTCACGTGGTGGGACTATAGATCTTGTACTGCCAAAGAGCAAGCCACACTGCAGCAAAACCCAAGCAAACATTTGTTGTAGGGAAGGAAAATGATACAAGAAAGGAAGGGTGTTTGGAACATGGAGACTGGTAATACTACAGACTTGCTTGTAGTCCATAACCTTTATTTTCAGGCTATTTTCCTCTTCTATAGGATGGAGGGAGATGCTAAGGATTAGACACAGAAATAATTTATGTAACTTGAAGTGGGACACAGACAAATACTGCGATGTAACTCTTCCTTCCAAAATCATCAGATCTATCAGTTCAACTTCCTTGTAGTTAGTTGTCTGATGTCTTTACAGACGCTCAGTCACGGTTCCCAGCTTGCTCCCATGGCCAGTACAGAGCTTGAAAGTAGCAATTTCTTCTAAATATTCTAAGGGCCCAACCAGGAAATCCCAGTTCATCAGACACCAGTAGGATCAAGTGTCACAGAATCACAGAATCATAGGTGTTGGAAAGGACCTTTGGAGATCATTCAGTCCATCCATCCTACTAAACCAGGCTGCCTACAGTTGGTTGAGCAGAAAAGCATCCAGGTGGGTTTTAAATATTTCCAGAGAAGAAGAACTTCACAGCCTCTCTGGGCAGCTTGTTCCAGTGCTCTGTTACCTGCAAAGTAAAGAAGTTTTTCCTCGTGTTCATACAGAATTTCTGATGTTCAAGTTTGTCCCCACTGACACTTGTCCTGCCACTGAATATTGTTGTAAGGAGCCTGCTCATATCCACCTGATTCCTGCCCCTTAGATATTTATAAGCATTGCTAAGATTCCCTCTCAGTCTTCTTTTCTCCAGGCCGACCAGTTCCAGGTCTCTCATACAAGAGATACTTCAGGACCCTAATATTTCTGTTACCACCCCCTGGAATCTCTCTAGAAGTTCCCTGTCTTTCTTGAACTGAGAAAATTAGAACTGGACCCAGCACTTCAGATGTGGCCTCATCAGGTCAGAGCAGAAGGGGAAAATCACCTCCCTCAACCTGCTGGCCACACTCTTTTTAATGCACTCCAGGTTACCATTGGCCTTCTTCGTCATAAGGGCACACTGCTGGCTTATGGCCAACACGTTGTTCACCAGTACACTCAGCTCCTTCTCGCAGAGCTCCTTTCAAGCTGGTCAGGCTCTAATCTATACTGATGTGTGTGGTTATTCTTCTCCAGATGTAGGACTTGTTCTTGCTGAACCTCATAAAATTTCTTTCTGCCAAGCTCTCCAGGCTGTCCAGCTCTTGCTGAATGGCAGCACAGCCTTCTGGTGCATCAGCCACTCCTCTCAGCTTTGTATCATCAGCAAATTTGCTGAAGACATTCTATCCCTTCATCCAGGTCACTGATGAAGATTTTGAATATTAAGATGCTGAACCCAGTACCATCCCCTGGGGATGACTAGACTCTGTGCTGCTGATTACAACCGTCTGAATTCTGCCAGTCTTCCAGTTATTAATCCACATCACTGTCCACTCATCTATCCCACATTTTTTCAGCTTACCTACAAGGATGTTACAGGAGACAGTGTCAAAAGTCTCGCTGAAGACAAACTAGAAAACACCTGCTCTCCCTTCAGCTACTCAGCCAGCCATGACATCACAGAAAGCTAGAAGATTGTTCAAGCATGATTTCCCCTTGGCGAATCTGTACTGACTGCTCCTGATAACTTTTTTCTCTTCCACTTGCTCAGAGATGAAATCAAGAATAAGCTATGCCACCACCTTCCCAGGGATGGAGGTGAGGCTGACTGGCTTGTAGCTTCCCAGGCACTTATTCCTGTCCTTTTTGAAGACAGAAGTGACATAGGCTTTCCTCCAGTCTTCAGGCACCTCTCCCATTCTCCATGACCTTTCAAAGATAACAGCAGTTTACCAATCACTTCTGCCATTTCTCTCAGCACTCGTGGCTGCATCCTGTTAGGGCCTATGGATCTGTGTGTGTTGAATTAGCCTGAACAATCTGACCATATCTTCATCAACAAGGAGCAAGTCTTCCTTTCTCCACACTCTCGCTCTTAACTCCACGGTCTGGGATTCCTGAGGGATAGTGTTAGTAGTAAAGACTGAAGCAAAGGTAGCATTCAGTACCTCCACCTTTTCAGTGTCCTTCATGGCGAGGGCACCCACCTCATTCAGCAGTGGGCCCACATTTTTCCTAGCGCCCCAGATAACATGGCAGACATCAGTTAATTCTGCAACATGCTGGGAATTGGTGCAAAGCACTCCTTTTGGTAACTGCTGTTGTAATTAGACAATCAGTTCAAAAAGGAAGTTTTGCAGACTTAATCCCCTTTCTCTCTGAAAGGACACAAACCCTGTCTTAATTAAGCCTTGTATTTTCCAGCTTGTGACATTGTCCATCTTTCCCTTTGAACTTATATTTCAATGTGGCAACAAAACCCAGATCTCATTAGACAAGAAAGCGGGCACTATTGTCCACCAGCTTCCTTTCAAATCTCAAATCTTGAATTCCCATAGATGTTCAGGCCTGTAGATTCTAGAGAGTAGAGATTTGCTACAGCCCTGAGTGCAATGTCTGAATGATCAGGTTAATTAATTCACAATATGTGTGATCTAGATGACCTAAACAGGCACCACAGCAACTAACATTTAGGCACTTGCTTTTCGCCAGTCATCTAGGCACATGTTTCCAGGACAGCATGCACCAAGTCCGAGTCCTACTACATGTTTCTGACCTTCTTTAGCTCCTCCTCCTGCTGCCCATCAAACTTTTGTAAACCAGAAGCACCTATTTTTACACTATTTGACATCAGGTGGGCACAAACAGGTGAACAACTTGTGTCTTAGGACAGTGAAAAGATGAGAGATGTCTCCTCATTACAAACCTAGAGAGGAGAAATATCATAGACCTACATACAAGAGAGTTGTTTAATATGTTCACAAATCAATTTTATTAATTTAAAACAAAATTAATGAAGAAAAATACTGTACACAACTGTGGACACAACACACTTTTTGTACAATAAGGCCCAGATAAACTGTTTTTTTTTTTCAGTCTGCAAGTGACTAAATATAGAAAAGAGATGGAAAAAAAAAAAAAAAAAAAGACAACCAACCTCCATTACTGTCTACTTTGAAGATGCTTACTTGAAGAAAGGGCTAGTTATAGTCTTGGTTTTAAAAACTATCCACAATGTGCTTCATGTATGTATGTGAGTACTGTGTGAATTCCAGTACTCATACTGGGTAAAGTAAAGCACAGATGAAAGTCTTGGTAGGATAAAAACCTTGTTGTTGGTAATAAAACAATCCACAAACATTTAATTCTAGCAGCAACATTATTCCTCCAATAAAGAATGGTGTTTCTTTGCAGCTACATTGGTGCTTTGTAGCTTTGCAGGTAGTTGTTTCAAGGCTGGTGTTTTTAGCAAAAAAAAAAAAAAAAAAAAAAAAAAAAAAAAAAAAGAAAAAGAAAGAAAGCAAAGCTGGAGAATGAAACAACAAATCCAATGCTTCTTTTTAATGAAGAGATTTGAATCAAGCAAAGGGAATTGGTACAATTCACGTCGAATAGTAAGACTAACAGTTTATCTGATCAAGTACCTCACGGCCTTCAAGATTAGAAAAGTCACAAGTCACAGACAGACACGGTCTAGGTTTGTCCTGTAAAATGGATACAGACAAAAGCAAATTTTAACTCCTTGGCAATAACTATTTCTGTATTTCCATTGCCGGCAATGGATGTTATATCTTAGGAAAATCTGACTCCTGGTGGAAGAGGATTAAAAACCTTAAATGTATATGAGTATCTTGTTCAATTTCTCCAAAATATTACCATTCCTAATTTCTAAAAATAATGATCACAATAATTTCCTTTATTTTTGGATGAGACATAAACTAGTTGGTACTCAGATTCCAGTTTGAGTCATGTCTTAAAATATATTTGTGTTCTCTATTTCTTTATGGAATCTGCTAATTCATTTGTCAATACTCTACAAAAGCGTTAAGAGAGCAAACAGAAGACAGCAAAGTACTCCTCTTCAGTTGTGTTTTATCTATATTTCCTTAATGGGGGGAAAGAAAATCTTTTCATAATCAGAACAGATGAGAGAGGAAAAAGGTAGAGAAATAGCTGAAAAGAACAAAACCCAATTCCTATTGACACTTGACATCCATGCTTTTGGTCTTGACAAATTTATCTAAAAAAATCCATTATCTACATATTTATATCCAACGTGTTGACAAGGCACTGCACAACATTTTGTGCACACATAGCCTCATTCTTCACCAACAAGGCATTACTATCTTTCAATAGCATTTACCTTAACAATATGTAAAAGAATCATTCATTATTACAAATTTACACAAAAATTCTTCCTGTACATGATTGTCTCAGTGATGTACCTATTAGTTTAAATTAGACATATTTTAAACTACTCTGTAATGTGCTAAAATCAAAAGTAGTTGCTGTATCGTAAGGCAAAGGCTTACAATAGCCTTTCTTCCTATTACACATATCCTCAGTTATATGATGTCAAAATACAGTCTGTTCATAAATAAGTAAAGATGTACAGAGTACCCTGGGTATGAGAAACCAAAAAGTAAACCTTCTTTAGAAGAAAATTACTCCACTGGTATTTTGAAAAATCTCAGTCTTCATTGTGCAATCAAGTTTGCTGTGTTGAAGAAACGGCGTGTGTCACATTGAAGAGTTTAAAAACTACAAAGCACTTGCAGGTCCTTTTTTCACAGGTATGAACCTTTATTTCCTGTTTCTTCCTTCTCCATATCTTTTTGGTAGCAAATATAGTAAAGATGAGCTGTTAAAACATTTGCATGGCTTATTTTTGTTGGACTCGCAGTACCAGAGTCAACAGCTGTTCTGAAGAAAAAGACATGCTCCTCCATTTACTGAAAGGGCAGGGGTTAAGACCAATTGCAGCTGTACGTCAACATGTTGAAATCACAAAGTTCTGTAGTCCAATGCTGACACAAGACACAAGCATACCGTCCATGGGCAGAAGGAGGCTCTGGGGTTTCAAAGTGCTGCTGGGCTGCTACAAGTACTCCAGTTCCAAGGCATGGTGAAGGGCCATAAGGTCAGAGTGGCTTGAGATCCTCCAAAATGGCATAGCATGCTGTGAACAGCACAGACAACATGTAAAAATAACCCCAAGCATTTTGGTATTCAGACCCACCCATTGTCTTCCGCAAGAACAAGGTAACAGTGTGAGGAGAGAGCAACTCAGAGCTGTTAAAACCTCAAGCCCTTCACACTTCTTTCTGATTTCTCTGACACTCGAGCACAAATTGTCAATAATATCAATAATAGCAAACCTATTTGCCAACAGGAAAGACTGGAGATCTTAAGGATCTTAAGAAAAACAGACTACAACATTTTGAGGAAGAAACTGCTGTTTTCTAGTAAAAAAAATTAAGAAAACTGTTCCATACATGAAGCAGGTGGGTAGTTTGAGGAAGAGAATAGAACTTAGTTAAAATATATATATATATATATATATATATATATATATATATATATATATATATATATAAAGGAAGTAATATTTACCATCAAAACATATTATTCGGAAAACTTTCCCTGGCAGGTGAGTTACAAACACAGGAAAGATGATTCAGAATAGCTCATATGTTGCTCACATCACTTTGAAAGGAATTTTATCCTGGTGGTTTGTATAACATCACTCATTGTTAGCACTGATCTTAAAACATATTTTCCATTTTGGACAATTTTAAAATAAAATCATATTTTTTTCCTAGTAACTGTAATAAGATCTCAGTCTGGAACACAACCATATATGCAAAGAACCTGAAGGAACCAAAACCACAACTACCAGGAAAAAGTACACATTACCTCATCCATGAAGGGTAAAAATCTGATTAAGAATACTTGCTATCTTTATACTGTAAAACACTGATTAAACTGTCAGCAAGACTTTTCACATAAATACAAATAGATAACCATCAGCTTTCTTCAGGAAATTTTCTGTCAATTTCATGGGAAAATAGTTTCGATGCACCAATATTTTGAAGGCTAAACATGACCATGTTCATCATCTCACTGGGTCAGCTTGTGTCTGACATCTTTAGGAGGCAATTTAATATCACAATAGCTTCTGGGATCCCCAAGCATTTTATTAACAGCTTCACAGGAACTGTTTTCTTCGTTCTCCTTCAGTACTTCCTGCACAAATTCCTAATTCTATTTAAATCAGCAGCAAAACTACATCTCTTCTGATCATCATTGCTATGCTGAGCCCCCTTTTTCATTCAGGCCTTCATTCTCAAGGAATTAGAGAACAATTCTGAAAACAACGTAAAAGCACAATGTGAAACCCTCTGTTTCCAGGTCCACATTTACTGTAAACCCTGCACATCTGCGTAACACCTATCCCATCAATCCAACACCTTAGCACAGAGCTTGTGATAAATTCATCCCTGGAACTCAGGTAAACCGGTCTGTATATAAATAATAATTATTTTTAGGAGGACAACACCGCAATCCAGATAACACTGTGACGATGAACTGAGTTTGATGTGGGGAGTAAAGCACAGATTTTAAAAGAAACAGAAGTGGGTAAGTAGTGGCAAGTCTCTCTGATGTCAAAAAGCAGCCATTAAGGATGAATCAACTGCTGCACTTGTAAGAGGCAGAGGAGATGAGGCTGGAATGGTATTAATCAGCTAGACTGGGCTAAAAAGTAGTGCAGAACACACACAGCAAGGAATCTGGAAAATGCACACCAAATAAAGGACAGGCGTTAGCAAAAAGAGCTGCACAATAAGAGACTGCAGAGTGATGGAGATATCCATATTTCAGGGTTTTCATTTCAGAACAGCTCTAGTCCACTGTTATGGAAAATATACCTACTAGCAGTTGGAGAACATTTGGTAAGCACCTCTTGTTTAGTTCCATCCAAAAGAGATCACTTTTTTGCCCTAAAACAGATGTTACCAAAAGCAGAGTAAGGGGGACAGTCTCCTTCCTTATAACACTCCTGATCTGGATTAAAATGTAATATAGATGTATCAACAGCTTCCCACATGCAGGGTTTCACTAGCTTTTAGAACCAAAAAAATTATTCAGGAAGAAAACAAAATGACTCACAAGGAAGCACCACTGGATCAGTTTCTATTCTGCTTCGTTTTACCTTAGATTGTCACAAAGACTTAAGATACAGTTGACTAAGATAAGGGAAGTAAGTGAGCCACGTTGCTGATGAGAAAAAAATAATATTTCAGTGAGATTTATTCCAACAAGTGAGACATTGTTGGAATAAATGCTTATAGTATTTCCAAAATGCTTTACACAGTATTCCTCTCCTTAACAAAGAAACATTAAACATGACTTCTACTATTTATTCATCTTCAGTGCAGACTTCTGTGCCCCAACAGCAACAGAAACTAAATGCAATCAGCTCACTGAGTTACTGCTCCATGTCCCAACACCCCGCTGTTACATTATACAGACTGTCCTCTCTGCTCTGTCAGGTCAGGCATTACTAGTTTCCAGCTCAAATCTTTCCTAAAAAATTCATTTCTTGCATCATGCTCAGTAAATGTACAAACAATAACAAATAGAAATAAAATCACCTAATCATGCTGTTTTCTGGGCTCTCCTAAAGCTTCTGTGTTCCTATCTCTTCTTTAGACTGCAAGATCAGAATTTAACATCTGATGGGGGCATTACATCAAGGACAAACAGGCACGGTTTCTGCTTGCGGCTGATCGAAGCTGTGCTTGCAACCAAGAGTACTCAGTTTTGCTGTCTCCATTTTTGCGTGGTTGCAGCTTCCCTCTCCTTGCCCAGGTGCAAGGCAGCACCTTTCTGTTCTCTCTGTCAGCTTGGAATCTGCTCTGCCTCAACCACTGGCTCAGAGAGGTGTAAACAGCATACCTAAGTGTGGTGCAGGGTTTGGTGGACACCTGCCCTTGAGTAGTGTCTGCAGAAGCAAAGAGTCAATGACAAGGAAGCCCTCCAAGGACATACAGCAAACTAATGAATAGGGAGAATTGTAGTAACAAATTCTTGGCTTCCAGCTCCCCACCTCATGCAGCTCCATGAGCATTATACTGCTTCCCTAGTAACAACCTCAGCACCACAGAGCGTATACACACCAGGCGTCAGGGATAGTTAAAGACCCTGATTGTTTTCACAGAAGGTTTAGCTTCTGCTAAATCAAATCACAGTGATTCTTGCTATGATGCTCATACGCAATATCAAGTTTTGGATTACTCTCAGCTGTTTATGGTCAGAGTTTAAAACAAAAACTTTAAGTGATCATTATTTTGGCTGTCTCTTTGCGAATCTGAAATTCACTTAAGAGTCCTCTGCTTTATTTATATCTGGTAAAGGAATATACCTCCATTTACTCTATTCGGTTATAGCAGCGAGACGTGGAATGAGAGCCCGGAGAGTCCCATGAAAACAAAGAGGTTGTGTAAATCTCAGGATTATAATTATTTTAATTTCTCCTGCGTATAGGTCAAAGGACCAGCCGCACACTCCCAAGAAATGAAACACGTCAGGAACGCAGTGGCTGCATGAGGACTGGAATCTGCATAGGCGCTCCGTGCATGGGGCCCATGTGGCTGATTCAGATCTCTATCAGTCTGACCCTACGGCACAGACTTCATGGCTAAGGGGAGGGGAAACAAACTTGATACATATCTATGTATAGCTACATGCATGCATCTGTGTATGTATATGCAGCCTCACACACATATGTGTCCATATATATGCATGTTTGTTTACTGGGCATACACAATAGTTTTCACCTTATCTGATACAATAAATGACTGTACAAAATGATCAAGCAAAAACCTTATACATAATTCCTGTGTTGGCGTGCCCTGCTTATCCACAAGCACTGTCAACAGTGAGACAGAGGCTCTTTTTTTTTCTTATGAAATGATCAGACAAGAGTTTCAATGGATATATATTCACTAAAAATTACCTTTAGAAAGCCCTCACTGCCAACACTTAGCACACACATTGTGCCTAATATGTGTCTTCTACTGTGAGCACACCAAAAAATGCTAATATTTCATTGACTGACGCTCGAGAACAGATGACCAACACTAACTGCTAACAAACAGCAGCCTAGCTGGATGCATTATGAACTAAAGAAACTGTCAGAAAGCTTTTCTTATTGCTTACAGGGGGAACGAATGCCTAGGCTGGTAGTAAAGCAAGCGTTCTGCACACTATTTCACTGTGTTCCAAGTAAATACCAAACTTTTGTCTATGAAAAAGCATGAATTGCGTTGTAGGTGTTTAATAATGTGACACTTGACAATAAATAAAGCTATGAACATTTCAATTCTATTCTTAAATTAAATACGGTGGCAGAAGGTTCACTTTGCGCTTAAGCAAGAAAAGTTGAATTATTCATTTAGTAAATCTAGTAATTATAAAATTATTCAATAACCTAAATTACTAAGGTATCTAAATTTTGAACTAGAGGCAGTATTATTTTCAGTGTGTATCACTAGAAGAACAAAACTCCAAGTATTCACCAAAATAAACAAAGCACCTCAATAAATGCGCAAAACAAAATCATTTTTTGACTGAGTAACACTGGAAACTGCAGGCTATCCTTCTTCCCTTAAATGAATTCATATTTCTAGAGAAATCTCACTCCTGAGATTTGCGACATATTTGAATTGAAAACTCATAAGTTTCTGTCATCTTTCGCAGTATTTTTGTTGTGTTTCTGCCAGATTTTGCTAAGTGGTCGCCTTTACTTCCTACCCAAACCTAAGCAGCACAGTGTGACTGCGAGCTTTAAAGCAGTTGCAGACTGGATAGCCATTTATATTCTATTTATTGCTCTGTGAAGATTTATGATTTTTCCTCACAATTTCCCTCCAAAGCTGAATGACCGTTTCTCCCGACAAAGGAAGAAACTGATTTGCCCAGGCTCTCCTGAATCACCTGATGTAAAATCCAGCTCCTCCATGAAGAGACGCTCCTCCTTTTGTCTCATCTTGCAAAGCAGAAATGCTTTGCAAGATTCTCCCAAGTAGGAAACCTCAGGAGTTTTTTTTCGTTTGGTTGTTTTTTTCCTGCCTTACGAATATTTCCCAACAAAAATCTCAAGACAATGGAGTTTCTGGCAGAGAAACCCAGGAACTGATTTTGCATATGTCACCACAGAGGCATGCAGACACACAGGGAAGGAGACAGCCCCATGCCTGGGCTTGCTGCAGGCACGTGCCCCCACAGCACCCAGCCCTGAGCACTCCCTGCCTTCTCCTCTCTTTTCCCTCTCCCCTCCTCTCCCTCTTCTCCAAAGGTAGCAACCTCCACGTGAACTCTGCTGCTGTGGCTGCCCTGCCTCCTGAAACCATCCAGAAGGGTACAATTTCTCCTCAGCCTGTAATGCAAACGGCCTAAGGATTTTAATTGTCTTATATTCTGCAGGAAGTGACAGCTAAGGCAAGGTGTTGATACCATGGCTTGTCCTGTGTTACATGAAACTTAAGAGTGTGCCGCTTCCTCAGTGTGCTGTATTTATTTCCATCGATCAGGAGAGGCATTTTACAAAATACCAATCTCTCCTCAACACATTTCTGAAAAGAGCAGTGACCTTTTAACCTGTATGGAAAAGAATGTATCATCGAATTTTTACTATAATGGTAATAAAAAAAGGTTTAAAATGCGTCTTTTTTCATCTGTTGTATTGACTCAGGCTTTTCAACAGACAAAGTACAACAGTAAAAAACCTTGTCTCATAAAAAAGCAACTGGCTAAATTATTAGTAAGTTATTCTAATAACAAATCTTAACTTTATGATCTCCTAGGCTTGAAATTCAGCTCTTTTCACTAAAGGAGCAGAAAAAAACTAAATAGATTTGAATTTATACAGTCATTTAAATATACTGTTTATGAACTATACATAAGCAGTGAAGAGCTATTTAAATTTTAAAGAAGGGTGTACTGTCTGTGCGCTACGTAAAAAAAAGTACATATACTAAGGGCTTCTCCACAGGTCAAAATTCTTCAGCAAAGTGCAGTACAAAGGAATAACATAAACACTGTTCCTGCCTTGACAATATCACAGAATCACAGAATTGTAAAAGTTGAGATCACTAAGATCACCATTAGCCTTTCACCACCATACCAGTAAACCATGCCCCTCAGTGCCACTTCTACACTCTTCTTGAACACCTTCAGAGATGATGGCTCCATTACTTCCCTGTTCCAATGCCTCACCACTCTGTCTGAAATGAAATTTTTGCTAATATCCAACCTGAACCTCCTCTGGTGCAACCTGAGGTCATTACCTCTTGTCCTGTCACTAGGTTTCTGGAAGAAGAGTCCAACCCCCATCACACTGTAGCGTTCTTTCAGGCAGTTGTAAAGCGTGATGAGGTCTCCCCAAGCTGCTTCTTCTCCACACCTAAGCCACTCCCCTTAAGACTTACATCGCAGACCCCTTACCAACTTTGTTGCCCTTTCCTGGGCAAACTCCAGAGCCTCAATGTCTTTCCAGTAATGAGGGGCCCAAAACTGAATATGCTGATACGAAGGAGGGGATAAGCAAGGCAATGAGACACTTAAGACAGTTTTGGCTGATGGGCTTCACATTTTCTGTGGGAATAGTCTCAATTTTGCTTGCAAGCACTCTACAGAAGGTATGTGCTTTTGCAGTTTTCTAATACAGCAGTACTACTCATTTGTTAGACTGGGCATATGTCTTTGAGGTGAAGCACAACATACTCTGTGGCACACTCCTGTGCCTATTCCTCCCTATAATGCTAAAAAAACAACCTGAGGAGCAGTCAAAAAACAATGCACCATCTGAGCTGAGATTAGCTCCAAGTACTCTGTGATTCTCACTCTGGCACTATGCAAGGACAAAACCAAGGATCAAGTCCCGCTTTCACAGCTTGCAAGGAGGAGTTCTTTTCAGGAGGAGCAAGGAGCAGGACAAGAATCACAGAGATGTTTCCTTTAATCAAATTAATAGTTTTTGCAGAAAGGCAAGGTTGGTGATGTACTTAACTGACTTCTCTGGAATTGTTTTAAAAAACAGTTTAATCCAGAGCCTAATCTAGCATGCTTTAAATCTACATTTCTTCCAATAAGAAAGAATATACAGAAGCGATGGGACAAAGGAACTTTCTGTGCTGCTACACCTCTTAGCAACTGGAAGGGCTTTCTCCTATGCTTTTCTGAATAGTGTTTCCTGTTGAAAAAATGCAGTGAATTAGATAATGTTACCAAAAGGACTACTCCTGCCATTATCACATACGACACTATTTCACCAAGCAACAGAAAAGGAACAAAGAAGATTTTCCCCGGGGGGGGGGG